GACGTTGGGCTAGTCTCAGCCCAAGCAACTTCACAGAGCAATTTTTGTGAGTATAATATTGAGAGCAGAAGGAGAATTGTGTAAGCTGCTTTGAGTTTTTTGAAAGAAAAAAATGGGGACATAAATTTAATTTTAAAACAATTATATTTTCTCTAAAGTGCAAGTGCAGAACCTCTTGCCCTCCTGAGGTTGCCAAATGGCCCTAGCCCCATTCACCTAACCAATGACTGTACTAGCTTTAATGCCATAATTTTCTCCTAGTCTAAACAGTTGAAATATCTCTCCTACCGCTTCTAAGGCTTGGTTACTGGACATAATGGCTTTATGATAAAACACTAAAAATACCGGCTTTTTTAACTCTTTGGCTTTGTCCACCATTAGAGTTTGGCAAATAGCTTCTCCAAAATAAAATCAGGCCTTGGATTGAAAGAGGCTCAGCATCCTGATTTTTAAAATCTAGAGGAACTGGTAGCCTTGAAATACTACCTTAAGTTAAACATTAATGTAATGAAAAATATGATTTGTATCCACTTGAAAACAAAATGGAAAAGCATTTTCAGATGTTCATAAAACTTCATTAAGTGCTGAAAAGGTCCTAATTCGGAAGAATAAAGTATGTGGCTATACTGGATCAGCTCCAATAATTACAGTATTAGCTCTGCAGCACTGGCTACATTGGGTATCACTGCAGAAAAATCCTGATCAGTAGGCAGCAACATCTCTCAGCTATTAAATGCTGGTATCCCTTCTCTTCCAGCTTTGAAAATTTTCTCCTGACAACATAAACTATACAAAATATGTAGTTCTTCCAACTGGAGAATTCTCTCTGCAAGTTATGAACCAACCTCCTATCTGAGAATGTTCAGTACTGGAGAGGGAAAATGTGCTTTAACATTAGAGGAACACTTTATATTATCAAATTTTTGAACTGTATTTACCCAAACCATTGCACAACCATCAAACATGGCTAGTTCAGTTTTTGTCCATCTTCTAATACTTTCTAAAATATTAGGTAATTCTACTGATCTTTTGCATGAAGTGTGTTAGCCTAGTTTTTTAATTGATTGGTTATGAAGTTGCCCTATGTTATTTATGGCCTTTGCTGTATTTTATACTAGTTGTATTCTTTAATAATGAATACTTAAGAATACCTTCAGCTTTTAAATATTTTGGTGTTATAAATGCTCCTAGTATATGATGACTTTCTATTAAATGGATTTAGTCTTCACAAACTTTGACAACTGAACTCTGTGATAATTTACTACTCTCAAATGCTCTAGGTGGGATACACACAATGTAACTTATCATCAAACAAAACATTACAAGATCACTACAGACATAGTAATGAGCACTGGGGTACCAATCACCTGAGCTATATATAGGTATACAAGCTATATTGGACTTTTTCAGACTTTCTTCATTCTTTGATGAGCACTATAATATAAATAAAAACAAGCTAAGTATCATTGAGAAGCAGGTACTCAGATCTTCCTCCCCACAACACCTCAGTTTCACATCTTCCTCCTGATCAGGCACAAGGGCTACCAGGGACAGGAAGAGGGCAAATCAACCCACAGATTCCGAGTCATGGCCATATTTTAAAAAGCTTACATCCAGAAGTCAAAAGTTGTCTGGCTCTTCACAGCACACTTATTCCTATGGAATTATTCCACCTACTAAGACAACCCAAGGTGCATGGATGGGTTTTATGCATACTGTTTTTCTGACCTTCACAAAGTCCAGATTATATGTTGGATGCACCAGACTGAATTTATAATTCAGCATTTACCCCAAGCAATTTACAATTTTCTCTAAGTAACCTGGTTCCAGTAACCAGAAGACAATTAGTAGTAAGGACAAAAAATGAGAACTCTGTACCATCATGAGGTCTTACCAGAGGAGGAGATTACATGGCCTGCTACCCTTCAGTGTTACCACTTTCGCTGATCAACAGATGCTTCTGCAATTACCAGCTCTAAAGGAATCACATGATCAAAAAGAGCCAACAGGAATCTGCACTGCAGACAATGACCTAGCTCACATGACACAGTGGTCCCTCATGGCTTAATTTATTTGTTGGGGCTGCTACATCATGCCATGGATTATCTGATGGTTGTCTAATATTCAAATGTCCACTGCTGCCAGCAAGCCATGGCAAGCCAGGCTCTAACATACAAAAATGGTACCAGACATGATGCAACAGATCCCATCAGCTAAACTATAGTGGGCTGTTCTGTTATGTGAACCAGGTCTCTGTCTGGCTCCCCAGTCTGATCAATTTGTTCTCAACCCTCGCTTTCCTGCAAAACTGCCCCTACTTCCAAGTGCAACGAAAACTTTGTTTCCCAACTCCAGCTCTGTTTTAAAATAGAACAACATTCTGGCAATGATTCTAACCAACAAGAGCTACTGAAACGTAGACTGGAAGGATGAAAGAGAACTCTGGGGTTGCACTATACTGAACAAGTCAGGGACATGGAGAATGCAGGTGGAGTCCTATCTAGCTGCTCACTGCAGGTTAGGACAGGCACTTTAGACAACCAACAAAAGAAGGCAAATTCTGGTGGCAGCATTTGCAGGAGCATCAGCTCAGACAAAAAATTGGCATCCTGAATATTTAGCTACAAAACTGTACTTTTCAACTTCACCTTTATTATGCAATAATTAACCCTCACCAGTAATTCCTATGTTGAAAGGTTTAACTATATGCAATCAAGGCAGACTAAAGCCTGCTAAAGCAAAAATCCAGGAATTATAGATTCAATTTGTTTTCAAATTCAGCTCCTATACAGCAGAACTACCACACTGATTCAGCATAGCAGATGTCTTACAAAATAATCCATAATAATTAAAATACTTTTGATTTAATTATTTATGTTTATGCTTCTCAGCATGAAAAATTCTGACAGAAGGCATGCTAGTAGCATGAACTCTGCAATATACTACTCAGAATGCTGAATGAACTTTTAAAACTACAATTATACATAGACTCACCTGGAATTAAGTTTAATTCAGCTCCACAGTACCCAATGGTATATTAGAAGATACATTATTGCATTATGATATTTCAGCTCACTCTAGGATCTTTCTATCACCAGCAGGAAAAATGTTTGTTTTTAGTGCTGGATTAAATAGCCTGCTGAGAACTGAACCAAAATTTCACACTGCTATGGGAAAGTATGTCAGACTCTGCATTTTGGTATGGTTAGTATTCCTTTCAATATGAAAGAATTACTCTACATTAAAGTCCTATGAAATTCACGTTACAACTTATTATAGTCACCTTTCAGCTTATTCCATCATGTTTTGCTATTGCACAATATACAGTAAGCATACAATAAACATTCTTATCATACCTATACAATGTTGTGCCAAATTAAGCAATCATGTGGTAATTTTCCTAATACATTAGTGGTATGCATCAGAACCAGAAATATATGTACAGTCAAGAAAAAGTAATAAGAGTAATCAGGCAGGAGCATATAAAATATAGTGAAAATACTACTTTAAAAATGTTTTATTTGTAAGAAGGCAATTTAAAGTTTCAACAGTTTCATCCAATAATAATTGAACTGTGACATTCCTAATGGAGTTCATTCCCTACTGGACAAAAACAGACATTACAATGTATTCAAGTAATTGTCCTTACAGAACTGCCTAGTATAGTCTAAGATGCCATAATCTATCTAATAATCAATATGCACCAACTTGTGAAAACATATGTGCATTTATAATAAATTTAATTCACTCAATCCAATAGATGTCATACAAGAAAAACTGTGTAGGATCGGGGCTTAATAACATTTAGGTTCCTATGACATCCATGTGAAAATACTATATATTTTCCTAATTTTTTGCTTGGAAGTGTATCAGACTGATTTACACACACACACACACACACACAGTCCCAACTAAGTCAGGATCTACTGATTTCAACAGAACCTAATTTTACAATACACATGTTCCAGACCAAATTAGCTACCAAGAAAACTATTATTTCACAAGTTAATCACAACTAACTTTACATAGTCTGCAATGGGTTAGAGACAGATTAAGTTAGAAACATCAAAGAGAACACTATACCAAAGTAAATCATGACAGTTAGAATATTCTATCCATATTTATGTTTCAGCTGCTTAAAATTAAACTATTGTCCAAGCTGAAATATTCTTGCCAGAATATATGCATACCAAGTAAACACACAAACTAAATGCAGACATAGTGCTTTAAATTCAGTTAACTATACACTGGGACTGGGATACTAACTATACAGAACAATCTTCGATAAAATATTCTTCTGTTTACCATAAACAGTTTGTGGCTTATGTTGTTATGATTTCAATTCAATTCAATGCTTTTTCACTTAAGTACTGGGTGCCTTAGTTGGATGCCTTAGTCTGACAAGTTGTAGCATTATATTTTATAAGATTGGACAATGTCCAGTTTCAAACCATCAACATTCAGTGGACCAAAAAGAACTGTGATAGCAGAGGCAGATATCAGCTTTTACCTTAGGGACAGACTCAAAAGTTGAAAGACTTGCTGAATCAGCAAATTAAGGGGTATAATGGCAGCTCAACCTGCTGTCTACACAGCACAAGATATCATTGTCAAGGCAATGCTGGCCAAATGTTGGGCAAATACCATGTCAAGGCATTGCAGTATCCCTACCCAAACCACTTCCCAGTTTTGACTATGTGTCAGTACAACTGGAATGACCTAACTTGTAAGGATGTTGGAAAAATAAATACAATAATTATTGCAGTACATAAGTGCTATAAACTGATAAAGTTTCATCATCCATTCTCTTCAGCAAGATTCCATCAGCTGAATTAAAGGCAGCCATGTAAGTAATCCACTTCAAGTACAGACACATTATTATTTCCTGGACAACAAGAAGTCAATTCCAATTTACAAAGGCTTATAAAAGTCAATCACTGATTAAAATGATAACAGAATGAAGCTCATGATACTTTCTTGAAGAATGTAAATTGACTTACCTTTCCTGTCTTATGGTCAAACCACACAAGCGCATGGTTCCTTGACAAGACTTTACAGTCAAAGGTAGCATTGTTCTGAGCTGGTCGACATCGAGCCACTGAGCGGCCAATTTTGACAGGCTCATCCAAGTAGACATGACGCTCTTGAAATGGATGAGAGTTCGGGCGGCAAGTGAAGATAGCCAAGGCTGAAGGCATTGAGGATAGATATGTGGTGCCACACCAACCAGGAAAGAAGAGAAACTCTTCTTGATCCAAGCCACCCTCCACAGTTGATAAGCAAAATTCCCACAGCACTTCACATTAAAGCAGGACAAATATTACCTGCAAGTGAGATCTAACAATGCATACCTTCAGTATGTGAACTAATGCTGGCAAAAATCCAGTTAAAAAGCCCCATTGTTTCCTGTAATAAGGCCTGTAGCAAGTCTGAGAAGTTCCACTTTAATCCATCTTTCTCAATAATATGAACAAGCATCTGACAACTCAGAAGAGAAACAGATCTTGTTAAATTAAGGTGGGGATGGCTATAAATCCAAATGGATGACTCACACGCAAATACTTGTTCGGGATGTAATCGGTTCTATTCTCTTCCGTAAACACTGCCCAAGATTTTTCCTCAATAAAGAGAAACAATGGAAGACTCAGGGAGTGGGAAGCAGAAGATAAGACTGATTTACAAGATTGGAGAATGACCAGGACACCTTTGTAACAAAAACAGCTTAACTGATCCAAGGAGAAGTCTATGGTTCATCTTCTTCACAGATCAATGCACAGCAACGAATGGGAGGCTGCCCAACTAATGAGTAGGCTCTCCTGTTCACCACACAGCACAGGCCCAGACTAGAATATTCAAGTGCCAACTGAATCACGAATTTGATCTTTAAGGATATAGTTTTGTTCTCCATAAATCTAAGGGTCAGTAGACCTGGAAACGTGTCCCAGCCATTGGGTGAGGTGGTCTTGTCAAGCAGAGGGGTAAACTGACAGCAGGTTGGTTGGCCAGGTGGGGACAGCGGCAGATGGAAGCAGAAGTGCCGTGATCGCTCCAGGCGATGCAGGTGAAGCGGGATATGTGGCCGGGAGGGGGCTGGCTGCGGAGGAGGGTATCGGCGCAGTCTCCCCAGGATGGGGAGCGGAGCGCGGTGCCTGCCGAAGGCCGGTGACCGCTCCGCCGGCGCGCTTCGTTCAGTGACTCTGCAGGTGGCTGCGAACGAGGATCCTGCGCCCTCCTTCTTCCCTCCTGAGGAGAGGCGCCTCTGGCTGGCTTACCGCAGCTTAGCCCCGTTCCCGCCGAGGGAGAGGCCTGGAGGCCGGGCGCCTTCCGAGCGGTGTCTCCCTCTCAGGCGGACGCCGACAACGAAAACTTTCCCTCGACCTGTAAAATCAAAACAAACCCGGTCAGTCTCCGGGGCTCAGGCGGGGGCCCGACTCGTCCGCGTTTCGCCAGCCCCGGCGCTCCTCCGCTCAGCAGAACCGCGCAGGGCAAAAGGACAGCCACACGGGACGGAGCTCGGCGCTCTCCTCCTCCTCCTCCTCCCACCCACTCTTACCTTCCCAGCAGCAACAGCAGCAGCAGCCGCCGCCATAGTGACTGGAAACCTACCCGGTGTAGTAGCAGCAGCAGCCGCGGCCGCGCTGCCGGGGAGGGGGGGAAGGGAATGGGGGAGGAGCCGCCTCGCGATGGGCCTGACCAAAAGAAAGGCTGACGGCCGCCCATCCGCTTGTACGCAGGCGCCGAGTCGAAACGCGCAAAGGTGGCGCCTGCGCACGCGGGCCAAGTGAGGCTCCTGCCAGCCGCTGGGTCGCATTTGCTGCCCTTAACCTGGTCTGGCCTGGTAGCGGCGCCTTCGGGTATCTGAGTAGAGAAGTGACGGAGAATGCGCCGCGCAGCAGGGGGAGGATTCAGTTCTGCAGAGGCGGGTTGCCTGGAGGGCGGGAGCGGGAGGAGGTAATGTGTCACATGGAATTGTGGGGGATGAAACAGCGGTCCGCTCTCTCGGGGACCGAAACCCACTCTAGAAGAGAGCAGCGTTAAAAAGCATGACAAGGCCATAGAAGGGACCGGGCGAGCCTTAGCTGAGAGCATCGTAGTCTCCACGGTAGTAGACACAGAAAACGTATAGTTCACTTGAAACGAATGCAGCGTCAGCCTAAGCCCTTTACTCATCTGGGAATAATTTACATTCAACTCCGGTTTACTTTGTAATAGATATGCACACATTTGCACGTCAAATATGTTTACTTGCATGTCTAGCTTCCTTACGTGGGACCTACTCCGACCTACTCCATCTGTGCAAGCTTGCAGTCTTCCTGTTTTTTCACATTTCTCAAAATCTCAAAGTTAACACTCAACGAAGTGTTACCTATATTTTCAGTTCTTCAGGTGATAAGATATAGGAGAGCACATGACAGGGATTAAACATCTCATATTTTCTTTAAAAGTTCAAGATCTTTGTGCATCAACAAGCCAACTAAGACCAAAGGCAAACCCTAACACTAAAGAAACAAATGACCAAAGATGGGAGATAACTGGCTAGGAGGCAACACTTTCATGAGTTAGTGATACTCTATCCACATTTATTAAGGAGTAGGTCCCACTGAAAGATGAACAGTATGGACTTATTATTTTAAGCATCCCAGTTTTCCAATTCAGTATTTGACAGCTAAAACACAATAACGTGCCCAAAATTTCAAAATGAGAATTAAAATCTAATCCATGTCCAGAATAATCACAGCCATTGAGCACAGCAGAAACCAGGGTGGTATTGATAGGATTTCCAGATAGTCTAAAACATGGGTCCTCAAACTATGGCCCACAAACCAAATCCGGCCTTCCATGCTCATTTATTTGGCCCGCCTCACGGGCTTATCAGTATACATGTATACCATTTTTTCATTTCTGGCTATAAATAGCAGTCAGCAGCCAGATACATAATGAGTTTAAGCAAAGATACCTAAGTGCATAATCCAATGGAGATCACTATAGCCCTCTAAACTCAGAGGATTATGGGCATCCTCTGTAGCAGGGGTCCTCAGAATTTTTAAACAGGGGGCCAGTTCACTGTCCCTCAGACTGTTGGGGGCTTGAAAAAAATATGAATGAATTCCTATGCACACTGCACATTAAAAATTAATTAAAATGAAAATTAATTTTAAAACGAATTAAAATTTTAAAAATGAATTAAAAATGTCTGCTCTGCTCGCTCGGGCTGCAGCAGAAGCCCAAGATGACACTGCGCCACCCGCTGAAAGGGAGAGCACAACACAAGGGGGAGCCATAAGGGTGCGCTCGCCTCGGTCGAGGCCTTCCCTGCTCCTCGCTGCCGCCCTGCTTCTGAGCCGGAGGAAGGTCCCCTTGCAAGCACTTGCCCAGCTCCAGGAGGGGGAGCGAGAGTGGGAGGCTGGAGATGCAAGTGCAGGGCGGCTCCCCTGGCCAGGAGAGGGCTGTGAGGAGGGAGGTAATGGCTGCTTTTCAAGGTGAGGGGAGGCAAGGGACAGGGCTGCAGGTGGCTGAGTGGAGCGCTTCCTGCCTCTCCCCGCCAAGGGGGGAAGAAGCATGGCAGCCACTCGACGGCAGCGGTGGCTTGCCCAGAGAAGGCTGTGGCGGAGGTGCAGGAACCGTGGCCCCGTTCCGCCTCAGCCTGTCCCCCGCTGGGCTCGGCAAGTTGGCCGCGACTTGGCCCACAGCCCAAGCATGTGGCTTACATAGTTAAAAATAGATTTAAAAAGTTATATTTTTCTTACCTTCTATCTTTTTTTAGTGTCTTTGTCTCTCTCTCTCTCTCTTCCCACCGCCCTTCTCTCTTCTGTATTCCCACTCCATATTCCCACTCTGTATTCAGAGCCAACACATGCGTGCAATAGGGGAAAGAGCCGGCGGATGCACAGTTGAAGGGAGCTGTTACAATTTGGCGCATGCATTGGCTCTATGCTAGTCAGTTTCAGAGAACGCATGCGCCGGCTCGGAGCTTTCGGACTCATTCAGAGATCATTTTCTCCGAGCGAGTCCAAAAGTTCTGAGGTGGGCCAGGTAAACAACCATGGCAGGCCATATCTGGCCCGTGGGCTGTAGTTTGAGGATCCACGCTCCATAGGATGTGAGGAGCTGAAAGTAGCTTCCATGGTCCTCTAGCTCTGCACAGCAGCTGGATTAACAACTTTGGCACTTGAAAAATGTGAAAGAGGCTGGGGTGCCACCAGAATATATTGTATTTTAGTGGCACCTGTCTCTTCCCCTCCTAGGCCCACAGAGTGCCCCCTCAGATTGATTGTAATTCTCAGTAAGGACTGAACAGATACACTTGCCATGTTTTCTCTAGGTGCAGAGAATGTATTGGAAATTTATACACTGAGAATTTTGTACTGTCCTGTAAAGTTTTTGAAATGGGTCAACATTTGTAAGGACTAATGGCTTTTGTCCAATTTATGTTGGGTGAGGTACCAGGCAGAGATGTCTGCTTTCCTCACTATATTTGGTTTGGAAGCAACACTCCCTAGAAAAGACAATCACGCTATAGAAAGTCAAGGTCAGAAGAAGAAAATAAAGGCCATATATGAGGTGGTTTGACTCCATAAAGGAAGCCCAGGTTGAATTCACAAGAGCTATGCAGAACTGTTGTGGAGGGCTTTAATTCATACAGTCATCATAAGCTGGAGACAACTTGATGGCAAATAACTACAAAGTGCACTATTCACAGATTTGTGCATAATTTCTCAGAATTTCAGCTCATTCTTTATGCTGATGACCTGTTGTTATTTCCTTGAAACTCCAGTCATTTGTTCCAACCTTGATGCAACTGATTAATACATTTGGTTATTTATCTGACTATTGAATTAACTGGTCAAAGTCTGAATTGATGATGATTGGAGATAATGTATCCCATAATGTTCTAGCTAACCAGCAATTCAAATTCTGCCCATGTTTCATTATTTATTTGGGAATACTCATCCCCAGGATATATTTCAAATGCTTATGCTTAACTTGAATATGCTAACTAATGAGATCTTGTGGGTTATAGATAGATAAGCATCTTTAAAACAGAGTTTTTAGAATAGGGTAACTGTGCTCAAGATTAATGCAATTCCTCAAATTGCTTTTGTTTTACTTGGTAAGTATTTTCAAAACTCAGTGCTTAGTTTCCTAAATTTCTATGGGGTTCCACCCTACCACAAATACATTTGAAAAACATGAAACTTCCAATGAAAATGGGTGAATTCAACTTTCCTGATATTGTCTTATATCATCAGGCCTATTGTTAACATAGTATTAATTCTGGGTCTTTTCCACTAAGATTAGACTCTTCCTTTGGCCACTTCTAGAATCTTCACGCTTGAATCCTCTCCCCAGATAGACTGCACTGGGCCAAAATGTTTAGTGTACCCACAGTTACAGCAGTGAGAGAGGTACTATACCATGCCTATTACAGTTTGATCCATTTTTTCATGAAATTTTAACTTTATGGGGAAACCCAGATTTAAAAATTGACAAGAACATTTTTGTTTGATGGACCTGGACAAGCAATTGATTTTTAATCTGGATCAGTTAGTGATTCCAAGGAATAATTTTCTGCCATTCTCTGTTTTGTGTGCTAAATAAGATAGTTCAGTTATGGCTGAATGGCAATATATGCAACTGAAACATTTGTTTGTATCCAAGTTTGGCTCTGAAGCTCTTACAATTTCAGAGGCCACTCCATTATTGGACATACTGATTAAGGCAGAGCAGCTGTATCAACCAACAATCCAGGTTTATACTTATTATCGGTGAATACAGGCAGTCTCCAGGTTACAAACAAGTCCCATTCTTAAGAACATCTTTAGGTCAAATTTGTATGTTATTTGGATCATGTACATATGAGTTGTATTTAGCATGAGTAAGCCAAATGTTTCTCATAGTATACATATATATTTTACCTTACTATGTATATAAAACACTTAAACACTTCCATGTACACAAAAACATCCTAAATACATTATAGTAGGACTCCTGCATCTGCAGGGGATAGGTTCCAAGCCTCCTTCCCTGCCAGTGGATGTCTGAAACTGCAGATAGTAGTGAACACTATACAGTTGGCCCTCCATATTTGTGGAAAAACTGAGTATCTCTAGGCTTCCCCTAAACTCACCAGTACCTCCTCCTTGCACTAAGGAAATGCTGGAGAGATTTCTCTCTCCAGATGGGCTGGACAAGAAGGCATGCTTCAGGGTCCCTCCCTTTCTTCCCCTTTGCTTCCTTTCCCTCTATAGTGATGAAGATTTTCTGTAATAGACCAAAAAAACGCCAAATAGAAATCTCATTTAATTATTGAAGGCAAATTCAGTGTTCATGGGCTTAACTTTCACAGGGATCCAGTGTCCTAACCCCTGCAAATGTGGAAGGCCAACTATATTAATTTGGCCCAACAGATAAGAATAAGGTTCACAAATTGATATGAAAATAGAACCCTGACCTCCTGGTATATCTATGCATTTTTTAGAATGTAGGTTCAGCCCGGAACAGTTGGAATTGCAAGAAGTGATAGATGGTCAGGGTAATCAGATTTTTAAAAAATATTTCAAAAGTTTAAACACAAAAATATGTAACTTTAAAACATGTTATTTACATTTCAGAATTATCTTGCATTTGACAAGGCTAATCAAGAGGCCAGAAGGAAATGCTGAA